ATACTGAATGTTAAAACTCATCAAACTGTACCCATATGACAGAGGTCTTATATTTTCCTGAGGTTCAGTAGCAACTTGGATGTATTTTCCCTTTTTTTTTTTTTTTTTTCCCCTGCCCAAAACATTAGAGGAGGCAACTTTTTCCCAGCATGCCAATAGCACACAGGCTTTTTAGCATAGTGGAAGATGCTACATTATCTTGACTCATGCTTTTTATGTAACGACCTTTTATTCTTTATGTTATTTCCTTTGGCAAGCTCCAAATCTGCTTTCCTTCACTCTAGTGCTCTGTGAAATCTCTTCCTGAGTTCAGGGGTTTTGACCCTGCTACTTCACCTTTCTCAATGTACAGTGCAGTAGCCTGATGGTTTGCGAAGATCATGAACCAGGCCTCAGCCTGGTATCCATTTTCTGGTGTGTTTTTGTTGGTGGTGGTGGTGTGTTGGTGTGGCTTTTTTTTTTTTTTTTTTTTTTTTTTAACATTTATTTATTTATTTATTGCAGATGCACATATGCAGTAGGCTTCATACAAGAAGCATTGAGCTGTGGAAATGGATTAAAGCAAGATGTTTAGTTATAGGGGTGCCCTTCTGGGGAACAGCCCACTGAAAACTGAGTTTTGTGGTGGGGTAGATTTTGTGCTAGCACAGCCCTGGCCATTGTACTGAGTTTTTTCTTGAGTGCCTCACCAAACCAAAGGATATGCAGCCTCCAGGTAGAAGTGGAGATTTTCCTACATGGATCAGGATTTTGGATGGAGGAGGCTAGAGTGAGCCACCCTCTGCCATCCTGGCTCCTTTGAAGTATGCTTGAGCTGTGTGGCAGCCCAGCTGGGGCCAGACATCCATTCACCACCCATCAGGAAGCTTGTCTGCCCCATAGGGAAGGCACAGCAAGATTCCTGCAGACCTTGTGGGCTGCAGAGGGCCAGTAGGCCAGGCAGACAACCCAACTAGTAGTGTGTGTTAGTGCAGCTCCAGTTGTCAGACCTGTAATTGCAGGGCAGGGCTTTCTCAGGCGTGAGGCTGTTTACAACAACATGGGTGTATGCACCACAAACATGGAAAAAAGGAACAAAGTTAACTGATTAACTTTTTTTTTTTTTTTTTTTTTTTGTAAATTTTTCTAAGCCTTAAAATGATGAAAATCCCCACGAAGCTGCATCAGTGAGAGTGAAGTTGGACATTAGGAAAAGGTTCTCAACTGGGAGGGTGGTTGGCCACTGGAGCAGGCTCCACAGGGCAGTTTTGGTGGCTGATGGAGTTCAAGAAGCATTTGTACAATGCTCTCAGAAGTATGATTTAATTTCAGAGTGGTTTTGTGTAGAGCCAGGAGCTGTACTTAGTGATCTTTGAGGGCCCACTTCAGAATACTCTGTAACTGTATGATTGAGATATATACATGTGTATAAATATATATGTATATATATAAAGCTTCAGGTCTGGAATCATTGATTTCAGAGCAGGTATGCTGTTTCACTTGACATAAGAAAAAATATTAGTGAAACCAACTTAAAGGTCAGGTCTATCCTGGCCATGGAGTTGGATGGGGCAATTAGTCCAGATATAATCATGCTCGTAGTGCTTTTACCTTCTGTGTGGAATAAGCACAATTAAATTGTCACTGATCTCAAAGACTGTGCTTTCCATGCAGAGACTTATCTTGTTCTGTGAGTTTCCCTAGTTGAAATTGTTGTCCCCCTCCATTGCACAAAGCAGTTGAATTTCTGGAAAAAAAAACCAAACAACAATAGTCTTAAAATTGGGAAAAGGGAAGGTGGAGAGCCAGAGAGAGAAAAAGTAATTTAATGAACTCTGCACACTCTCCGGACTCAGGCCTTAGAGCTATTCTACTGCTAAACTGTTAGTAGGTTTTTATGTGAAGAAGTGTGGAATGGTTTGTTTGATCAAAAAGATACAGAACTATGCATCTAGAAATCTTGACAGGATGAAGGAGGAGAACACTGAAGCTTTGTTCAGGGAGAAATCTTCACTGTGGTTACATGTTGCAGCAGATTCTTGGAAGATAATTTACAAACTAGTGTGACTGTAGGTGTACCTAGTGCACATGAAGCAATGTCAACGGTTTACCAACTGGTTCGACCTGATTCTGTGACTATCCATTTCTGATAAGCAGGGAATTGAAAATAGGGAAGAAAGCATGGAACACGAGGAAGTGCATCCCTGAAGCCAAAGAAAGGAGGGGGAGCCACTCAAGTTTGTCTGTTCCTTACATCTTTTTAAATTTGAGATTTTTGATCATGGGATAAGCAGAATCCAGAAAAAGTAAAGCAATGAATCAGATTCTACCATCATTGTAATAGATATTTCTCAGATGCGATGTCTGAACTTCAAATGCAGTAATGGATAGGAAATTCTACTATGTCCTTAGAGAAACTGTCCAACAATCCTGTGATTTTTTTTTTAAACTAAAACTGATAATGTGAATTTTCATTTTATTTCTCTTTGTTATCTGTAGTTACGTCTGTGTGCATCAGGAGTACTCCTCTCCACCTGTATAGCTTATACAGCCTTCAACTATCTTATGTCATGTGCTTGTTATGTATTAATCACATTCTTATATTCCTACTTCTTAATGAATTCCTGTGATGAGGTGCAGTAAGTTCTTCTATTTCACATACATACAAAGAGATCTGTGAAGAGATCCATCAGTTCCACAGTACAGGTGCTGCATTGCTGAAATCAGATTTTAAATCTCAGCAAGTCACTACAAGAAATGGTGAATAGTAATCCATTCTGCGACAAAAAAATTAATGGAGATTTTTATTATATTCTTGTCCTGATTTCTGAATTTCCCTTCTGGGTTTGAGAGGAGTCACCATAGCCAATACTTTTCATAAATTGCACTTTGCCCATGTACAGAATGATCAGTATCTTTACTCCTGACTGAAGTCACTTTCTGCATTTGCATTTAAAACTTAAAAGGCACTAGTAGTTTTATTTTGGAGTTATAATCCTATACTGCAAGCTCACCTCAAGTGTTTGCCTGTAGTTTTTGCCTCAGTCAGTTTTTCTCAACACGTAAGTATGTATTTTGTTTTCTTTTCCCTCATCAGTGTTAGTATGTTTTTTAAGTCTCTCAAGCCAATTAGTTCTACTAATTCATTCTGCAGTACTAACGTAAGAATGATTTTTTCTTTTTTATCTGAATGCATCATGGATGGTCTCTGAAGAAATCAGCAAGGGAAGTATCACTCCCTTGGAAGCTTGCAGCACTGCTGGGGAAGCCTGGAATTCTGCAGTAGCTGAAAGAGAGCATCATGCCTTTCATGCATCAGTTGAAATGAGCATCAGCCCACTGGATTCTGCAGAGGGAGCAGAGCTCAGCACACCTGCGGACTGTCTTTCTGCTCCAGGAGAAGCAGCAGAAATGCCAGGCAGACCCTCAAATCCTGTACAAAAAGTGCCAGCAGTACTGGAACAAGAGCATGGTGATGCAGATCCTCATAAGAGACTCTCAGAATGGGATGGAGAAATGATTTTAGAGGGTGGACTGGATTGCTCATTAAAACTTAAGCAAGGGGAACTGGCTGACCTGGAAAGCAACCAGGACTTTTCCTATCTCAGTCCAATCCAGGATGGACCAGCTAATGGCAGTGCCATCCCACAGTCTGTGGACCTCAGCACTGAATGTTCTCATTCCTATACAGAACTGGCTTTTCATGTCTCAGATCCTCAGGCCCAGTATCAGAAATCTCCTTTGGCTGATAACATTTCCTCTCAGAGAGAGGCACCTAAGTGCTTCTTGGTTTTTAAAACGATTTCGGAGGGGCACTATAAGGCTGAGCCATCTCTGGATAAGGTAGAATCTTTGCAGGAGATTGATGCTAGTGCAGAGCAGAAGCAAAACAGCAAAAAGGTGGCACTGGCAATTGATGAACGGCCTACCTTGGAGATAACAGCAGAGGACATGGCTAAACGTTGCACTTCTGAAGATGGTAAGGAAAGCAGAAGAGTGCTCCAGAGTTGGGAAGAAAATACAGAGTCTTGCTATCAATTGACTTCCACCTTAACAAATGACAGCCAAATAAGCTCACTACAAACAGGAGGAAACATCTCAGCTTGTGAAATAAGTAGTAGCAAGCTGTTCAAAGACCAGCAATCAGTAATGATTCCTAAGGAAAACCCATCCACTTCTGAATGCATTCATATTGAAGATGATTGCAGAAAAACAGACAGCAGACCTACCTCTTCAGTATCATGTGTTTTCTACAAAAAGGATACTGCTAAAAAAGCTAAACGAATAAATACTTCACAACATAAGGAAACAGCACAGAAGGAAGCAGTGGCTGAACTTCAGCAGGAACAAGAGAAGAAAGAGTGCAAAGACCAGAACATGCAAGAAGAAGGAAAATTTTTGAAGCCCAAAAAGCAAGAAAAAAAGGAACAAAATGAACAGGAACAGCAACAACAGAGGGAAGAGCTCAGATTGAAGACGCTGGCATCAGCTCACCTTTCAGAGACACTTAATATGCCCAGGCATAAAGTGGACTTCTGTAGTTTGGAAAATGTCTTCTTGGCTGAGCAAACTGGAACAGCACTTCCTGGGGAATGTGATTTCATGAGAGAGCATCTTGCTGAGAGTGTGCTGCTCAAAGCTCAAGTCACAGCAGTGAGTTCTAGATGTCAGACACCTTTTGCCAGCCCTTTCCCACCAGAGAGCCTGAACCTAATGGGTGAAGTTCCAGTGGTGCCTCTGCACGTGTGCCATATCTCTGACCTGGAAGAGCTGGAAGACACTGTCCGCTTTTCCATGATCAGTCAAAATAGTGTAGAAGTTGACAGGGATGACAACATAAAGCTGGGTGGGAAGGATGAGCACAGTGGTGAACCTGGAAAGGCTGCCCAGATATTTGACAAAGGAGAAGCTCCACACTGTGGAGGAGTGGCAGCACCTTCTAGCATAGAGGGCCATGAGGCTTCTGTTCAAGTATATTCCTCCACTGGTACTGAGAAGATGGACCCAAATGATCCTGTGGATTCTCATCCCATTGCAGAAAACTTACGAAAAGCTGAGTTTTGTGACTTTGTTTCAAATTTACCCTTAGAGCTCACTTTTGTGGCTTCGATGTCTGGCCCACAGCAAGAGGACGTTGGTGGAGGAGCCCTGGTGAACCCTAAGGACTGTCCTAGTTCCAGCTTGAATAAGTTGTCATACTCTATAGAGAAGCATGCTAACCAAGCTGTTTCTGTGTGCATGCAGGATTTGGCATCAGTGGAAACTATTGTTTTAACTGCTGATCCAGAGGAGGGCAGTGGTTCCTATGAACTGCTTGCTCCTGAGGAAGACTTTCATGAAGACCTTAGTGTCTCATCTTCTTTCTCTGTAGTATATACAAGCTCTCTTCCTGCAAAGAAGAGCCTTCCTGGGGACAGAGAAACACTGTTTTTTGTTACAGAGCCTCTGGAATCAACTCAAACATGGGTCAGGACTTCCACTACCTTGAACCAATCAGGAAGAATTCTTCAGTACCAAGATCCACCAGAAGAAAGTGCCATTATGCAAGAAAATGAAACTGGAACAAATATGTTTCACAAAGCACAACAGATACCTTTATTTGATCAGTCTGACTGGAATCCTGGATCTAGAATCTCAAGCATCCTGAGCACCCTAACTTGGCCCCCTGAAGGAGATACGGTCCTTGCTGTAAACCAGGGAGGACGACCTCTGTCTCCTAAGCCTAACACAAGCCTAACTCTGGTGTCTGAGCCTGATGCCAAACACCTTCCTTCCCATGTCCCAAGCCCTGTTCAAGCTCAGGCCCCTGCACCTAATGCCAATCACTGTGTCCAGGCTCTAGCTCATGAGAGTCATGAGACACTGACTCCTGTACCCAACTCCAAGCCACATCTGAACTGTAATATGGACGATCATGACTTACTAGCCCTTACTATAAGCCATCCTTTATGGACTGCTGCTATTGTATCTGATGCTAACACTGCCAACTTTTCTCCTGATAAAAGTCTTACAGACAAAGTTGTCTTTGTTCCAGCAACTAAAGAGCACAATTTCTGTGACTTGGGTACCCGAGATACAGAGACTTCTAATGACTCAGGGGTCAGTTTGTTGGCCAAAGGCTTTTCTGCTGTTGGAAATGAGGCATTGACCAGCTGTTCTGACACCAGCACTGAAACAGTGATTCAGTATGAGGGTATACAGTGTGAAAAATCCTCACCTGACCACCTTTCTTGGTCATCATTGGAAGATTTGGGAACATTCACAGACTCAGAGAGCAGAGACTCTGTACAGTCCCTTCCAATGCTAGCATTCACCAATCCAATTCACTTTCTCCAGCTAAGCCCTCCACCACCACCAACTGCTCAAACAATTTGCCAAGAAGATGAGGTATCAGGAGAGCTGCAGTGGGTGCAGCGGACAGATCTCTTTGATGTGGACACAAAGAACATCCACGCTTCAACAATTACAGAGAAAGCAAAAAGTGAGGGAAGAGTAAAACAAAGGCTAGAAGGACAAGAAAAATACCGTTTGGTATCTCAATCAAAAGAAGTACCAAAACATTTACCTTTGGAAAAATCATCAAGCTGGCCAGACAAAAAAACAATTGGGGTAGTTGCAAAAGAGCCAAAAGCCAGTCAAGAAAGTCTGAGTAAGTGCAGAGTGAAAAGCAAGGACTGGCACCGTCAGGGCCTAAAAAGGATATCTGTACCACCAGACATCTTTCAGGGTGAGTCCATCCTCCATCTCTAGCTACTCTTCTTCACTCTGCAAAACTTAATGCAGTTATCAAAAGCCTGTAGTTAAATAGGCAATGTGATAGAAAGTCATGAGAGTTGAAAGTGTGGCAGTGTTTTTGTGCATTTCTGGCAGTACTTGGAACTGCAGCCACTTGTGCATCTCCGGGCTGCTATCACACTGCTCTCTCCTAAACTCCTGTTTGCTACCCCATGATAGGTGCTTCCTGCTGCACACGGGGAATTAGTTCCCCTGCTTGCACTAACACATGCAGCAGAGACCTTATTTCACTTCCTATTCCTTCTCTGTCTTTATTGATCTGCTGCCCTTACAGTAACATGAGCAATTTTAGCCTACTTGCTAGAGCTGAGTTTTTTGTGGGGCTATTTACAGCTGTTAATCACCTCTGCTGCCATCATATAGCCATTGTGTTTTGTTGCACTTAAATAACAGCCCCAGGGTCAGTGACTCCACCACCTCCCTGGGCAGCCCATTCCAGTGCCTGATCACTTTTTCAGAAAAATTGTATTTCCTAATGTCCAGCCTAAATCTCCCTTGGTGCAGCTTGAAGCCATTCCCTCTAGTTCTATCACTAGTTACAGGAGAGAAGAGGCCGACCCCCTGCTCACTACAACCTCCCTTCAGGTAGTTATAGAGAGCAATAAGGTCTCCCCTGAGCCTCCTCTTCCCCAGACTGAACAATCCCAGCTCCTTCAGCTGCTCCTCATAAGGCCTGTGCTTCAGACCCCTCACCAGCTTTGTTGCCCATCTTTGAACCTGCTCCAGGGCCTCAATGTCTTTCTTGCAGTGAGGGGCCCAAAACTGAACACAGTATTCGAGGTGCGGCCTCACCAGAGCTGAGTACAGGGGGACAATCACTTCCCTGTCCCTGCTGGCAACACCGTTCCTGATGCAAGCCAAGATGCCATTGGCCTTCTTGACCACCTGGGCACACTGCTGGCTCATATTCAGCCAAGCATCAATCAATACCCCCAGGTCCATTCCCTCTACACAGTCTTCCAGCCACTCTGCCCCAAGCCTGTAGCGTTGCCTGGGGTTGTTGCAGCCAAAGTGCAATAGGGAATGGATCTAAATCCAGCTGGCGACCTGTCACGAATGGTGTTCCCCAGGGGTCGGTGCTGGGGCCTATCCTCTTCAATATCTTTGTTGATGACCTGGATGAGGGCATTGAGTGCACCCTCAGTAAGTTTGCAGATGACACCAAGTTGCTCTGAAAGTTCCTCCTATTTATTTGAAATGCCTCCTATATATTATATGTATATTATATGAAAATGCCTCCTATTTATTTCCATGTAAACTACAACAAAGAGAGCAATAATGCTATTTGATAGAGCTAATTCTTAGCTGCAAAACACTGTTTTTCAGTATAGCCACCACCAATAGCTATGCATTTTTGCCAGCAATGAACAAGAGCCTGCATGATGCACTTGTAAAGTCTTTACTAGTGGAGGTGACCCTGTTGCGCCTGCTTTAACACACCACCCACTGCCTCACTTTGCTAACATCCATTGTTTGATCTCCATAAACATGAGCAAATGTCAATGAATATCAGAAGGTGCAATTTTTTCTGTATGAAAGAATTCAGTTCCACACCTTGGCATCTGACCTGGAGCATATGAAGCCATTTTGTCAGACTGCCCTCTGCTGCCATCTATTACATGGCAACAAAATGTAACAGAATATTGGTGGAAAGGTTGAATCTAGATTGAATCTCTATATCTCTCACACCATCATGATCTGCCTTGGATGTTGTGGGCCAGCATAATAAAATAGAAGGCAGTAGTTTTGGAGTAGCCCTCATACAATATTTTAAACATGCTGGCTTTTTTTCTTAGAAATTAATAAGTTTATTTTCCAACCTCCACAATGTGCTGGAGTTCTGTTATGGAGGGAAAGGAGGGAATGGCTGAGGGGTGCAAAGAGTTTGGTGGCACACTCAAATCAAAATTTCTTCATGTATTCGACCTGTACATTTTTTGTTCAATATTTTAAAACATTCAAAGCAGCAGTTCTTTTCCCTGACTTATATTTACAGCTCAGTCTCTAGTCTCACTTCCTTTTTCTGCTTCTGATGAATGTATATGTAATTTCTCCACTCATTTAATTAAACCTCTCACAGAATGAAAGGGAAGCCCACATTTTTTTCATTTTATAATATAAACAGATGCTTTCTCAAACAGCAGTTTGTAAGCAATCAGGGCACATAAATGCAAGTTTTGGATAACACCTATCATTCTCATGCAGGTGTCATCCTTTATAAGACTCTAGGAATGTGTAATTTTGTTAGGTGTTTGGTATTTCTGTTCTGGATGCTACTGGGAGTTTTTGGAGCTCAACATCTGCAAAAGCAAGTCTAGATTCTCACATACTTGGCCCAAGTTGCTGAAAGGCGAGGAAAGGAAAAGGCATCTTGCAAATATAGGGCCTGCAGGCAGTAGCTTTGCTTAGGCAACTGAAAATCTGTGCTCTTAGAGATACTGTCACTTCTGAAAGTATCAACCTTTCTATTGGTATGAAAAGCAAATGTAACTAAGTTATAGTTCTAAAGTATAAGTAATGCCAAGGATTACAAAAACCAGAAATAAAGTTCAGGAGGGCATTTGTGCTGTAGACTTAAGACTGTTGCATAGATAGGGTATGATAAGGGGTATCTGTGTCTTTTGTGATTCTAGCTCGACTCTACATTTATATTTGTGTTTACCTTCTAATTATCTTATGTAACAGAAGTCTGTCCTGTTCATTCAGAGGAAGAAGTACACAAGGTGCACAGGGAACCACCAGTCAATTCAGAAACAGTTATATTGCGGTAAGTCTCTTAAAGGCTCCATGCTCCATTGATTTTGGCCTCATGCCTGTGTAGCACAGATACCTGATGCTCTACCATTGTTTCTAAGGGATCCAAATGAAGATAATAAGTAGAAAACTATGCTAAAGTGACTTACAGCTGTGTTCCTCTCCATGTCCTGTAGGAGAGGACTCCATTGCAGCAGAAGTATTTCTGTCCAGTGGACAGTATTTCCATCAAGCCAAACTTTGTTCTTTCTAACGTAAAGTATGTGGAGCTTGAGCTTGTTAGAAAGAGAGGGCCTTGTGTCAGATCCATTACTAAGATTTGGGTTATCCATCACTGGCACTGTGCTCTTCATTTTCTCTGTGTTTGCAAATCTTTACTTCCTAACAGAGAAAAGAAACCTGCAGATACAATGGGGACCTTCAAACGTCGGCACTCCAAACTCATCAACTCCTGTAAGTACCTTCTGCTTGAAGTGCTATGGAAGACCACTATCTTCTGTCATCTCCCACCCTTGCTGTTGGTTTTGTCACTTGGGAGCATTAGAAAGGAGTGTTTAGTGGAGGCAGTGAAGCCATAGTCATGGTCACCACTTGGCTGATAGTAGATACATATGGTTTAATGTTATCCTAATAGTTTTCTCCAGACTGAAGTAGAGGGCAGATAGCTTCATAGAAAGTGTAAAAATATATGCCTCTCTTCACAGCAAAGTTGCTGTATCAGGAGTACAGTGATGTGGTTCTGAACAAGGCCATTCAAAGCCAGAAGAGAGTGGATTCTTTTACAGAGGATACAGAATCGAGTTTGCCAAGCTCCCCGAGGCTACGAAGGAAAGTGTTGTCTCCCCAGGACTCATATTTGCAACGTCTGTCAGTGTCATCAAATGCATCCCTCTGGCAGGATATCCCCATGATCCGGGGCAGCAGAATATTACTCAATATGTCCCGTGATGAGCAGAAGCTGCAAGAGGTAATGGATAGATGTAATAAGGTAGATTGGTGGCTTGTAGTCAAGGAGGATGGAGGACGGTGGTTAAAGTGGAAAGCAAAAATGCCTGATGTGGGAATGCAGTGGTTGAATGCAGAGGTCACCATGTCATGTAAGCAGTTTGGGAATGTGGTGTCAGTACTTATGAAGTAATACAATGCTGAAGTTCTGCATTGTTGGTAGAAGAAGCACAGAAATAAGATAAAAATTCTATCACTAACTTCATGAAAACAGATGTTAGGAAATTGGAACAAGAGAAAACAAGGAATTTTGAACAAATTTGATGCAAAATAGAATCTTAAATAGAAAACTGAGCTTTCTCCCACACTTAAGCTTATGAGAGAATTGACCCACATGTGCTGCAGGGCTGAGGGGGAATGAGAAGATATATGTATGTATTCGGCAAATTGGTACATGGAGTAACAGGTTAAGGAAGATTGGAGGGACAAACAAGTGGATGGGAGAACCCTGAGAAAGAGGAAAAAAACAACAGCATGTGAAACATGAAGGAGAAAAAGAACATAGGCAGTGTTGATGCTGGATAATTTATGGGAGCACATAACATAGGGGAAAGTGGAGTCTAAGAATGAAAACTAAAATTAGAACAGGTAACTATTGTTTTAAGTCATACTGCAAGCTGTCTTTCGTTCCTGAAGTTTCTCTTCTTTTCTAATTAATTGCACGCATCACATACTAAAAAGTTTTCTTGCTTTATCCCATCTCCACCTAATAAGATTCATAATAAGATTGCAGGCTTGCCTGGTCTGCTGATGTTCTGCTCCCTTTTTTCTTCTCTCAAGGCCAAATTTGAGTTGATAATGTCTGAGGCTTCCTATCTGCGCAGTTTAAATGTGGCAGTGGATCACTTCCAGCGATCAACAGAACTCCAGGCAATTCTCAGCAATCAGGAGCGTCAGTGGCTTTTCTCACGCCTTCAGGATGTACGTGATGTCAGTGCCAGGTGAGATTACAGCCCCTTACTTCCACATCTAACACCCTCCATGAAGTGCAAATTACAGCCTTCAAACAACTGGAAATGATATAACTGTGCTCAGAGATCATTACAGAGTCAGAATATTCAAAATGCTGCCATGTCTTAGTGGCACTGACTGCAAACAAGTAACTAGACCTCAGTCCAAACCAAATGCAACTTTTACAAAATATATGTGCAGAAGGTGCAGCTGCACAATCCTGAATCAAATATAAGTAAATAAGATTACAGACATAATATGACAGTACCTGATTTGAAACCAATTAAATTGGTAAGTCATTAAACATAGATTTCTCTCTCCTTCTATGGCACCACAACTGTGTGCTGCAGTTTCCTTTTTGACTTGGAAGAGAAGTTTGAAGAGGACATATTCACCTTCCATGTATGTGATGTGGCTCTGAAACATGCTCCTGAGTTCCGCAGGGTCTATCTACCATATGTAACAAACCAGACATACCAGGAGCAAACCTTCCAGCGGTTACTGTAAGTTTTTAAAATTTGTTGAAACCTTCTACAGCCTCCTGCTTGCTTGCTGCACTTCTGATGTGCACTGTTTCAAGTGACAGGCAAACAGCAAGTATGATCTGTTGTACATCTGCTGGTACATTTGTTTGCAGTACATCTCCAGAAGAAAAGGTAGAAGCCTTCTTCAATTCAGTAGCATTTGGAACAGAAGGTCTGAGATTCTGTAAGGCTCCTCTTTTGAGAGGAGAAAAAGAACAACTGAGATAATGTAAGAGAATAACATTCAGTAGAAATATTCTATTGAAGGCAATTGCCACAACCTTAGAGCAAAAATGATTGTTCTAGACAGTTGTTGTCAGTATGTGGTTTTCAGACTATTAAGAACCTGAAAGTGATAGTTAAGAAAAGTATGGTTGCTGCCATTAAATCTAAACTGGCTATTCAAGAGTGTTTGAAATGGATTGAAAATCTTAAGGCCAGAGCATCATGAGTTTCTCTTGCTGTTGTCTTCTGCACTCAGTGGCACAATCAAGCACTGCTCAGGCTCAGTCATGAGCAAAGTTTCCTTAGGACTTCTGCACTATCATCAGTAAAAAAACAATCCTAGTTGATGTCACTGTTCGAAACAAGTCATTCAGGCATTGGGTGCTCTGGGTGCTGCTGACTGGGAGACATTTAGTCTTACCATTGGTTTCCTTCAGTGAAGGCTCAGTTCTGCACAGAAAGAACCTTCAGAATATCATCTAGGGTATTGTGGGCCCAATGGCTACTTGTGAGATACTTCTGGGCATAAAAGCTTCTTTTCCAACTCTTCAGGGATATAGAATTTGACTGTTCTGGCAGTAGATGCCACTTGCGTACCATTGTTCTTGTATCTGCTGCTGCCGAAGACAGAAAACTGGATGGCAGTGGCTGTTTCTAAGACATTAAGCAACACATTAGAGAGGAAGGCAGGTGTAATACTCTTCCCAGCAGTAGCAAGATTGTGGGAGCAGCTTTTCCACTCCCTGGGTAAAGCCCCTGGAGCTAGGCCATTTGGTATTAAGAAAGGATACAAACCACAACTATTTTGTGAAAGGTACCCTTTTTGTAGGTGAGACTGAAACATAGATGCTACTTCTGGTTATTCCAGAGTACTATACCACAAAGAGGAAAGATCAAACAAGATCTTTATTGTAGTGCTGCCCTCCTATAGCTGTTAGAAACCTATACTTATTCTGACTATGCTGAGTGGTCCAGTTTCTTGACATTTCTTGCTCCAGGGCCAAAACATGACTGCAGTGACTAGCATACCTCAACATTCACTGAAATCTGGTACTGTTTCTCTGCTAGAAAGACTATTTATTTGCTCTGATGCCTGCATATGCTTTCTCATTTACTTTCCCACAGGAGTGGAAATGCAGGATTTCAACAAGTCCTGGAAAGATTGGAAAGTGATCCAGTATGTCAGCGCCTCTCACTTAAATCCTTCCTCATCCTCCCTTTCCAGCGCATCACTCGACTTAAACTCCTCCTGCAGGTTACTGCTCATTTATCAGTTTTTCTACACTTTCTTTTAATCTGACCCTTCTTCAAGTCCGAAAGTCACTAAATATGAACTAGCATCAAGCACTAGCGGGATGGGCTGCATACAGCTCTTCATGCTCTGTGTGATAAGCTTGGCTAGATGCCCTAAAGCAACTCCATTGCATTTATTATGAATATGCATTTCAAAAAATAAAGCAGGCATTTGTACAATGATAAATGGGTGTGTGTTAGATCAATGCCATTAATTGGATACAGTCTCTCTTGTGAGGCAATATATTTTTGTATATTATTAGGACTTAGTTGTAACACTACAACAATTACATACCAATGAATAATTAATTGAGTAACTCTGAACGTGTTTAAAATTTTTTTTTGTTTGTTTTGTTTTGTTTTTTGTGTTTTTTTTTTTTTTTTTTTTTTTTTTTTTTTGCTTCCTTCTAGAAGGCACATGTTCCCTGGCTGCCCTCTGGAAGGCGGTCTGTCTCTATTCTTCTCCTGCAACATTGTCTCTCTGGGACACTCCTATTAAGTAAACATGCAAGTCCCCAGTGAATCAACCTTGAGCACTTCCATGGAACTTTTTTTTTTGTTATTTGAGCCTCTTTTGGAAAGGAGAAAAGGGGTATCAGGCAAAGAATTATTCTGCATTTAAGACTGTGCTCAGAGTAGTGGTTGTCTCCTATATCATGTAACATACAGAGGATAGTTAACTCCATTTAAATTTTCAGGGATGCCCTGTTCAGTACAGCTTGTCAACTGCATCCTGCATCTCAAATTTCTGGCCTTGTTATCTCCACATCTCCTACCACTACTTCAGTCTCTCTTGAGGCTATATCTTAATGTCTCCTTGTTTCTTGAGCCCTTCTGAGAGCTCTGCTCTTCTTGTCTACATTATGAAAAATGCTTTTTCTCATGCAGAATATCCTGAAGAGAACTCGGCCTGGGTCTGAGGAAGAAGTGCAAGCAACACAGGCCTATGATGCACTTGAAAAGGTAAGGCTGTCAACCTGTTCTCCACAGCCATACACAGTTGGAGAGCTTCAGAGTGTCGGTATATGCTTTTTCTATTGACTCTCACACTTGTCACCCCTGCCAATGGCCCATATTACTGATTGTCACCTATAATAAATTACTATGTTCCTGTGCATCTTCTGCATTGAGCACTAAGACAGGACCTAGCTGGGATGCAACTGAATCTTTGCCAATAACACTTAACTCAGGATTCATCTTTCCAGTTGTCCAATCAGTGGGTTGCAAGGGAGGTAAATCTTTGGAGACCCCAAAATAGGGCACTCCCTTCTCTGCATGAGTCACCAAAGCGGTGGAGTCAGATAGTTACTCACAGGAGCTATGCAAGAAGATTCATTGAGGTTTCAAATAACAGTCCAGGGCAAAATTAAACAAGTTTCTAACAAGGATAAATCAACTACTTCAAGTCAAGATTAGTCAACTTTCTAACAACAGTTAATCAATGTTATGGGTAAAGGATACTTTGGCACTTATCAAGTGTTTCAAGGTAAATTTAGGCAATGGCTACTAAAGAAAATGAGTAAAAGAAGATCAAGAGGAAAAAGAAGGAGAGAGAGAGAAGTAGAGAAAGAATGAGAGACAAAGAAAGACATCACTGGTCCATTTCAAGGAGTTCTAGTGCTTGCCCACCAGTGCTGGAGAATAGATGAGGGGAAGGGGTGAGCTCATCCAAAGGTTGAATTCTCTAACTAGAAAATAGCAGAAAGTTAAAAGCCCTCTGAAGCTTCTCTCAGGCATCCTTTTATGCCTGCTGGACTTGCAGGTACACCATCCTAAGGTTGTAAACAAGCAAGTTTGCAACAGTAAGTTTGTAGCAAAAACTTTATTGTGGGGAAAGTAGGTCTCTTCTTTGGACAGAGACTACCCTGTTATTTCACATGATCCCATACTTCGCTGTTATCAGTCTTTGGTTTGTAGTCATAGCCATGGCCTTGTCCTAAGGTGTTGAAAACCTACCAAACATACCACAGGAAGCCTGAAAGCATTTTTCACTGGTCCTTTATACCAGTCTCCTAAATGTTATCTCTCCTTTGTGCTCTTTATCTTTGTCTCTATTTAGCTATCAATTTATCACTCACTTCTTCAAGAAGATCTTGCTCTTTAAAAAAAAAAAAAAAAAAAAAAATCTCAAGGTGTTTAATACATTCATCCTTACTCTCTGTTTATAAAAGAGGCAAGACTTAATGTCTTCTGAGAGTATTTGTTACCTGCAAATTGTACTGCAAAATTGACTTTTTCCTTGGTAGCCCTTGTGCCCTTGTTTTGTCTAGTCTTCATTTGACCTTCTTGGAGTGTCACTCCCTTTCTTGTAATTACTCTGCAACTCTATACCACAAATCTAAACACCAGTTCTACATGATGCGTAGCTCCTTAAAATCTGAAGAACTGCACTTGCCTTCTGCACAGATCCCAGAATACTACAGTCTGAGACAGGCGAGTAAGATATCATACATGGAATTCTGTAATTTAGTTGTGTTTAAGCCACCTCTGCTACACTGTCATGTAGCTACCTTGTATCATCTCAGACAGCTATGTGGGCAGCTTTAAGACTGAAATATTTCTGTTGTATCAAGTCCTCAGAGTTACTGCAAAAACTCTGGGTTGTGAAAAATCTGGCCTGATGTTTATCTAATCATCCTCCTTGTCTTTACAGTGGAGCATCAAATAAAAGCTCCATCCAAATAACTGGTAATTAAACTTCTGTTATCTGAAAGGAGAAGGAAGTCTCTACTATCCCTCCTAGTATCCCCAAGTTAAAACAATATGTATAGAATATCCTCAGTTGGAAGGAACCCAGAAGGATTATTAAGATCACAGAGACTTCTTAAGAAATTCAGATGAAAACTTCAATGAAAAAAAAAAAAAAAAAAAAACAGTCATTGTAGGTATGGATAAGTTTTAGTATGCTTGCCTGAAATTTTCTTTTTTTTCCCTTCAGGAGGATGCCCAAGAATTGTAATTTAATGATTCTTCATAGGTTCCTGGGAACAATACTGATTCCAGTAGGCAGTGCTGCACCTCACTATCACCTATTTTCCTCTGCAGCTCATCAAGGACTGCAATGAAAATGTTCAACGCATGAAAAGCACTGAAGAGTTGATTTACCTCAGCCAGAAGATAGAATTTGAGTGCAAGGTGAGATTGTCCATGCCCTTGGCCTTGCTCTAGCCTAATATCTCTCATCTCATTCCTTACAAAGTCACTTGTGCTTTCTTTTGTTTTCCTCCCTTGTATACATTGATATGCTGGTTCAACAGCTTACACAGCTCAATTCTTCATCAGTGCTTCCCTTACCCAAACACTTGTGTCAGAATTCAGTTGAAGGTCTCTAGACAAATTGTCTTGGTCCAGCTGAAGAAATGAAAGTATGCTTCCTCTATAGAAAGATGAAAATCCAAAATTCATGGATACTTTTTTCCTTGCATACACTTCACATAAATATTACTTCTGTCTTGTAGATATTCCCACTCGTTTCACAGTCAAGGCGACTTGTGAAGTGTGGTGAATTAACAGCGCTGGACTTCAATACTCCAAGTCCAAAATGGAAAGTCACCACGCGTCCTATCTACCTACATCTCTTCAATGACTGTCTGCTCCTATCTCGGCCAAAGGAGTGAGTGCTTCAGCCACAGTTCTTGCTGTCCCTTCTAAAATGCATCCTTCTGGGTCTGTGCTTTAATTAGAGTCAGTTCCTTCTGGCTGCCAGCAAGTGGCGGCATTTGTCAAGTCATTTCCTAACCTTGCATTACGTGAGTATCACTTAAGTGACATTCCTGATGTTTTATCAAAATATAAACAAAACAATATAACTGGGCACTTCATTGTACAATATTTCCATTCTGTCTATCTCTACAATATGAAAGGCTTTAATAGCAATTTATTATAGTTATACTCTGTATGGTAACTATGGAGTTATGGCCTGAACCATTGATTGAGCACCTGGGGAAAGGACTTGGTCAGCTCTGGGAGTGCAGGCACAGACAGCTTGGCTCCACCTCTCTTAGACCTCCTGTAAGGGCTATCTGCCACTGTGGAAGGATCTCTTTCAGAAGATCCCTCCTTTGTGGAGTTTTCCCCTGTGAGCCTAATCTTTGAGACAGGTAAGCAGTCCTTTTTTATTGCCTTACAACATCTTTCTATTGCATTAGTCCCCCTGTCATTATACCTCCAGTATCACGTTTCCATCTTGTTGATCTTTCCGATTGTTACATACTCAGAGAATAATTTCCTCCTAAATGATAGTATGAAGTCTCATGAATGTACAAATTAATGAAACAGAAAAAGTAGTTTAAAAAGGTGGGTGAAAAGATGGTGTTTTTATTATGCTGTAATCTATTACATAAAATCTTGACAGAGTTTGCAAAGGTTGTATTTCTACCCTTTTAGTTAAATCTTCTCTTGCCTTCTCAGATTTCCAGCAAAAACAAAGCTTACGGTGTCTGAAGCAGATCAGTAATCATTAAAAGCTTCTTGCTTTCCTAACATCAGGCAATTACATATACTTACTTGTTAACCTTCATCACCTTAATACTCACAATTTTTGTTCCTCCTCTTTACCTGCAGGGGTGGACGTTTTGTTGTGTTTGATCATGCTGCTTTCTCAGATGTGCGTGGGGAAAAGTGTGAGATGAAACTGCATGGAACAAACAAAAATGTTTTCCGTCTCTTTCTACTTCAGAATTGCCAGGGAAAGAGAGTGGAGTTTCTATTTCGCACAGAGACACAGTGAGTTCGCTCAAGGTTACCTTAATATGTCCCAATGCCATAACCAGTCACCTCCTATGAGCCTAGTGGTTGTCCCTTAACTACCAATATGCTGAAATATAAAGCACAGCTGCTGAATGGAAACTCAGAAATCATCCTTTTGCCATAACGAGTTCCTAATGAATCATGTTGCTACTCTCTCATCACAGCTGCTTATAGAATACTACAATGTCATTTCATATCATCAGCCTGAAAAAATGGGAGTTTTTGCCTTGTCCCATCCTTTTTTCCACTTCTTCCCCTACTTCTGTAAGGACCTACTTGCTGACCCTCCTGTGAGGATGGACATGTGCACACATGCACGTGCACTCTTACACTGCTGTCTCTCACACTGAAATCTGACACATACCTGGTGATGTTTTTCAGCAGTGAGAAACTGAGGTGGATCTCTGCTTTGGTTCCTCCACAAGGGGAATTGGACCTCCTGGAATGTCCTGGTAAGACTGCTCTGCTATTATTACCAAGGAGAGTGGGCAACTTGGAATTACTGCAAGGTGGATTATCCCAGAATGACTCCATGGCAGAATATTTTCCTTTATGTAATTAAAATATATTCATGTTTTTTTCTCCTCAGTTCCAGGTTCTGTCAGTCATTCTACTTATTTTTTATTCCTCATTTGGTAGAAGATGTGTAATCTCCCATCCAATTCTCTGCTCTTCAGTGGTTGGGCAATCTTTTATCCCCTTCCTCATCTGGGCTGATACATAGAGATTTACTGTTACTTTCTTGTATACTGTTATGATCTTTCCTCTCCTATTAGATGCACCACAGGTTCAATGCATAAGGATGTACAAAGCTCGGGAAAATGATGAGCTAGCTTTGGAGAAAGCAGATATCATCATGGTTATGCAATACAGCAATGATGGTGAGCAGAATGAACGATATCTAAAATTATGGTTAGCAAGTTACTTAAGTAGCGTAAAGCTTTTAACAGCACAATCCAGCTTCAGAAGGAGCTTCTCATTTGTGGTTGTTCATCTGAAAGAATGAAGAGACTTTTTATCTTCATTAAAGAATTTTATATGGAAGCTGAAAGGGGCTTTAGGGCTTTGTTGGAGTGAGGTTTGAGGGAAGAGTAATGGAAAAATCCTCACCTATTTTGCCTCATGTTGTGTTTGTCCCCACTCCTACAGGATGGATGGAAGGAGTGAGACTTTCAGACAGGGAGAGGGGATGGTTCCCCTCAGAACACGTGGAGCTCATCTCCAGCAAACATGCACGGCAGAAGAACCTGAAAGAAGAACAACGTGTGAAGAATGCCAAGCAGCAAGTCTTCTGCAGGAAATAATTCTACCTTGCTTGAACCTGTGCAGTCTCTCTGCTACAGAGAAACCATCTTTTTTCTATTGTTTCTCGGAATAAGCACCTCTGCAAAGAGTGTATTACAGATGAATCTTTTGCCAAAGAAAGTGGGAATTCAACCAGGAAAGTATATTCACTTCCTTCCTGTCACCAGAATCACAGCAGCAGAAGGGAAAAATGTTGCATGTATTGCTTGCTTTGTGTTAGTAGGGAGTGACTTTAATCGTACAGAGCAATGGAATCTGGATTCCTGGAAATGTATTCTGATTTTACCACTGGCAAGTTACTTCAGAATTGTGCCTTAGTTTTCCTATCTGTGAAATGGGTTTATACTTACCTACCTCACTGGATGTTGTGAGGCTAAATTGATTATTATTAGCCTACTGAGAGCTTTGAGTTTCTGAGAAAGAAGGCGCTAAGCACAAAGCACAACATAAGATGAGGAAAATTTTCCATTTTAATATCCTCTTCATGTCTTGAGAGTATTGATCTCCTTTCTATAATTTCTACTTGGAACAATGGATCTATTTGATCATACACATCTACTGTTTTTTTCTTTTCTTTTTAAAAGGTACAGATACAATGAAGCGCTAAGTCTTAGCATGCTATAAAGAATCCTCAGTAGCATTAGAATACACACTTGAGTTTTAGAAAGTTTTTGGAAGTCACTGTTATGATTTTCTGCACCTTAAGAAGTATAAAGCTGAATTGTAGGAGCTGGAAGGAACCTCCAGAGATCGAGTACAACTCCCCTGCAAAGCAAGTCCCCTACTGCCAGCTACACAGATAGGTATCCAGGGAGGTCTTGAATATCTCCAGAGAAGGAGATTTCACAACCTCCCTGGACAGCTTGTTCCAGTGCTCCATCACCCTTACCATGAAGAAGGTCCTTTGCATGCTAGTACGGAACTTCCTATGCTCAAGTTTATGGCTGTCCTGTCCCTACTGACTGCTGAAGAGCCTGTTTCACAGCAGTCCCCCTCTTTCCTGAATCAGAGTTCCACTAAGCCACCTGAAATGGCCCTGTTTTCTACTCTACCTCCCACTCAAAGTAGAACAGTTACTTTTTATAAAGATCTGACATGTAGGTACATGCCCTGTACAAAGTAACCATGTCTCTAGGCATTTGGAATGAAGTTGCATTTTCCTGCTGTCCTAACTACTACAGCTGATATGATACTGCATGCACCATTTTGCACACTTGTGGTAGACACTGAGATATTTTGCCACTGTAGATAAAGTCAAAATATGTGCCAGGGACTCTGTTGTATTTGTAGAACTCTCCAGTTGTAAGTCCAGTTTACATGTAGTCCTGCTTTTGTGCAGAACCTGTCTGACCACATGCCTTCAACTGTAAAATATTGTTGCTGCTGCAGTTATGTTAATACAACATCACGTATATGAATCAATACACCAAAGAAAACTCTGTATCTTTCTTGCATTTAATATATTTAAAGAATTATCTTCATGTTTCCAGCTTTCCTTTTGTATAACATTCTGCCTTTACAGAATCACAGAATGGCCAGGATTGGAAGGGACCTCAAGGATCGTGTATCTCCATGCCCGCTGCCACAGGCAGGGCCACCAACCTCCTCATTTAATACTAGACCAGGACCCCATCCAGTCCGGCCTTAAACACCTCCAGGGATGGGGCATCCACAACCTCTCTGGGCTTGCAGCACCTCATCACTCATAGTAAAGAACTTGCCCCTGACATCCAACCTAAATCTTCCCTCTCTCAACTTAAAACCATTTCCCCTTGTCCTGGTGTTATCTACCCTTTAAAAGAGTTGACTCCCCTCATATTTGTAGGCTCCCTTTAGGTATTGAAAGGCTGCAATGAGGTCACCCTGCAGCCTTCTTTTTTCCAGGCTGAACAAGCCCAGCTCCCTCAGCCTGTGCTCGTAGGGGAGGTGCTCCAGTCCCCTGATCATCTTTGTGGCTCTCCTCTGGACCCTCTCCAACAGCTCCATGTCTTTCTGGTACTGGAGGCTCCACACACTTGGACACAGTACTCCAGATGGGGCCTCACAAGAGCAGAGTAGAGGGGGACAATCACCTCCCTGTCCCTGTTGGCCATCCCTTTTCTGATGGAGCCCAGGATACCATTTGCTTTCTGAGCTGCAAGAGCACACTGCTGGCTCATGTTAAGTTTTTCATCTATCCAGACCCCCAGGTCCTTCTCTGCAGGGCTGCTCTCAAGGACCGCTCCTTCCAGTCTGTATGGATGCCTGGGATTCCTCAGTCCCAAGTGCAAAACTCTGCACTTTGCTGTGTTGAACCTCATTAGGTTCACCTGGGCCCATCTTTTGTGTCTGTTGAGGTCTCTCTGAATGACATCCCTTCCTTCCTTCCGCTGTGTCTACCACACCACTCAGCACTTGCTGAGGATGTACTCAATTACATCATTGATAAAGATGTTAAAGAGCACTGGTCCCAAGACAGCCCTTGCGGGTGCCGCATGTTACCAGCCTCCACCTGGACATAAAACCGGTAATCACCACCCTCTGTCTGTGGCCTTTCAACCAGTTTTTTATCCATTGAGTGGTCCACCCATCAAATCCACATTCCTCCAATTTGGAGAAAAGGATGTGGTGGGGAACCATGTCAAAGGCCTTGCTCAAGTGCAGGTAAGTGACATAGGTCACATTTCCCTTGTCCACCAAGCCATCACTCCATCATAGAAGGCCACAGATTGATTAAGCATGACTTTCCTCTGGTGAAGCTGTGCTGGCTGTCTCGGATCACACGCTCATTCCTCATGTGATCCAGCATGTCATCCAGGATGATCTGTTCCATGATCTTCCCAGGTACAGAGGTGAGACTCACCCACCTGTAGTTCCCAGGGTCCTCCTTGCTCCCTTTCTTATAAACAGGAGTGACATGACCCTTCCTCCAGTCATTCGGGATCTCACCTGACAGCCATGATTTTTCAAATATGATGGAGAGCAGCTCAGCAACAACCTCAGCCAGCTCCTTCAGAACCCTGGGTTGCACGCCCCATAGACTTGCATACATTCAGTCTCATGAGGTGGTCTTGGACTTGCTCTGCCCTTACAGTGCCCCCCATGGGGATTTACCATCCTGGTCCCCACCTAGAGGTTTAGGGATGCAGGGCTCAGGGACGTGAGAAATACTGGAATCCTGGCCACCAGTGAAGACCAAGGCAAAGAACTCATTCAGTACCTCAGCCTTCTCCCGTTGAAGCCAGTTCTCCTTTTACATTTACCGAAGAAGGTACACTCGCTTTGGCCTGTCTCTTCTGGCCAATGTACCTGTAGAATGTCTTCCTATTGTTTTTCACATCCCTCTCCAAGTTCAGTTCTGCCTGCACCTTGGCTTTTCTAATCCCACCTCTGCAAGTCTGGACGGCATCCCTCTATTCTTCCCAAGTGACACGCCCTTGCTTCCAGAGCTTGTACACACCTTTCTTTTCCTTCAGCACACCCAGCAGGTCCTTTGCCAAGCCATGCCAGTTTCCTACCTTCTCAGCCCACTTCCTTATTCAGAGGGACGGAGAGCTCTTGTGCTCTCAGAAAGGCATCCTGGATTCTTTATCCTTTAATTCCCATGTGCACTGTGGTATAGCTTATTTTAGCCTATTTATGTCAGTAATTGTAGCTGGATTAATAAATAAATAAATAAATAAATAAAGTTTTCATCCTAGTAAATTCATGCACTTCTCCCATTAAAATAAAATATTAAAAAAAGTCTGCTTCCCTGATTTTAGATTTTCATATTAAATGAGAGTAGCTGACTATTTTCTGAATATTTTCAGAAATATATTCAGTATTTTAGTTTATTTTTTCCACAAACACTCCTTTCTAAGTTAAGTACAAATTGCTATACTTAGCAAAGTTAGTTAAGAAAACTTGCTTTACTAGCCATGGTAATGATTTCAAGAGACTTACGGTGTAAGTTCGTGAATGTTCTGGAATAGTTGCTGCTGCAGGTTTCCTAGTGGTATTAGTCATCAGCATATAAGGATAAGCTAAAAGAATGACCTAGAGAAGATGGGATTTGGACCTACTAGTAACGTGGAATTTTTGAGCCCCTCACTAAAAGAAAGATACTGAGTTACTAGAATGTTTGCAAAGAAGAGCAGCAGAGCCGGTGAAGGGACTAGAAAACTAGACATACAAGGTTACGGAACAGGGCTGTTTAGTCTGGAGAAAAGGAGACTAGGGGAAGACCTCTTAGATCTCTACAACTACCTGAAAGGAGGTTGCAGCAAGGTGGATGCTGGTCTTTTCTCAAGTGACAACTGATGGGGTGCAAGGAAATGGCCTCAAGTTGTGCCAGAAGAAAGTTAGACTGGATATCAGGAAGTTTCTTCACAGAAAGAATAGCAACACATTAGAACAAGCTATCTGATGGAAGTGGTGGAGTCACGGTTCCTGGAGGTATCTAAGTGATGTGTGGATGAGATACTTAGGGACGTGGTTTACTGGTGGATTTGTAGGGTTAAATTGATGGTTGGACTTCATGATCTTAAGGTTTTTTCCAACCTGAAAGTTTCTAGGTTTGTCTTTTTAATTTACGATCCAGACTACAGTATGCATACTTTTCTTGCCTAGAAGAACTGAAGCTGATTCATAACTTTGCTCAGAGCAGAAGTAAAGCCCTATCTCAAACTACATAGTGACATAAGAAAAGTTATAAGCCTCACCAAGATCCACAGATGTTTAAAGATCCAAAATACCTACTAATTCAAGTCTTATGAAATGTAAAGCGATCACAATCACTGATGTTTCAATCGTGTCTGTGTAAGGTCATCTTTTACAAGCAGTCCCAGATGTATCGTATTTTATCAGCTTATTCTTTGTTACCTGTATCTTGGAAAGAAATGCTATAGATATTGCCAATTTCAGTTAGAAGTCATCTTGTTAACAATGTGTAAACCAAGAATTCTTTACTCTTTCAACTTCTGCTCTCAAGAACAAGTGGGCATATTATTTGTTAGTCTTCCAAGGTGGTTTTTAAGTTAAACTGTGGAGACACTATTGTTGTGAGGGATAGAATACTTATACTGTTTAACTATTTGTATCAAAGGTTAACTTCTCCCTTTTAAAATACACACATCCTGTTGTCATGATTTTGTTTAGGAATATTTAATAATCTACTTATGCTTTTAAGTGATTGTATCCTGTTTTACTTTGCTTACATTTCAGATAGTTCTCAGCTTCTCACTGTCTCTAATTAACTAGTTAGCTGCAGCACCATCCTACCTCCAAAATCCATAAAAAATCTCAACTGACTTGCTTCATGCTTTTTGAGACTAACTTTGTAAAAGCCAAGGACTTGTTAATTAAGCTACTGCAATTCTTCTCAACAGCTCTTAGCACCTTCAACTGTACATTCAGTTGATCAGAATCAAGTTGACAATCTTCTGAATCCTATTAATCTTAAGTCAGGATCTCTCCCTTACATTATCTAAGAGGGCCAGCCTGCCTTCCCAGAAAATTGATATTAAACAGGCATAGGTTAGAGCTTATCTGCTCCTTCTCTACACTCTGCTTATAAGCCAAAGAAGGTCCACTGAACAAGAACACTGAATGAGAAATGACCTTTAAACATATATCAGCAAGATCTGGGACTCAAACACCAGTGCTGTTTATATCTGGTCTCCTGTGTAATTAGCTTGAGGCATCTATTTGACATCACAGAGGCTACAGAAAGGAGTAGCCATGTGCATAAACAAGAACCTTATAGCCATATGTAGAGCCCATCTGAAGAGCCATAAAATACATAGTTTTAAAACACATCCCTTCCACAGAATCACAACACACATCCTAGTAAAATCTATTATTTGAACAAGAATCTGCTAATGTTTTACACTATAAACCAGTATGTTTATTGCTGAAGCCTGAGAAAGAAAAAAAATTTCTGTTTCTAAATGTGAATGGTTCTATTTCTAAATGTGAATAATCTTAAGAGGTAACCCTTCTTGCTTCCTTGTCATGGCTCCAAGTGCACCAACAGGCTTCTATTACCCTGAATGGTTTCCTACACCAATTAATTTATTCCTTATTGTCTCTGGAAGTATATTTGAGCAAGCATAGGGACATAGGAACCACATTCCTATGTAGGCTTGTAGGCCTGTGCCTACAGAGACAGGAATACCTGCCTCTCACTGCAATTCCTTCTACTTGTGACTGCAGCCTCCAGACAGATCAGGGCCATGATTCATCACCTCACCCTGCCTGAGGCTGTCAATGGGCCCTGCTATCATCACCCTGCTCTGACACTCTAGCTGCGCATTCTGGTCAGCAAGGACACCACCTCTGCCTGTACTGGGGTCATCCCTGGCTCCAGGCTGGTCTTCACTTACAAAGCTGCACCAATCTTGCAATCTTGCTGTTCCCAATGTGCTCTATCAGCTGGAAAGATTCAGACAAATTCTCTCATAATCTATCCAATTAAGTGTTCCTGTCAATGTCAGACATGCATTCTAAATGCCATATAAGCTAAATTTCTCCAATGAGTTTCACACTGTATGTATATATATATATATATATATTCATTTATATATATATATTATAGATAGATAGATATAGATTTTCATTTTTTGTTATATGGTACTCCAGCACATAGAAAATTTAAGGGTAATCATTAGAACATTTAAGATCTGGAAAGTAACCACATGGAAAGAAGAAAAATTTGAGACTGTAAGATTCAGTTCTTAATTCCAACTGCACAGAGCCAGTGTTCACTCACTGGGAACCTAAAACCCATTTATTTGGAATAAGATGCATCTGACAACAGCAAACTAAAAGTAGTAAGGTTTACAGTAGATAAAAGAACTTTAAACCAAATATAATGGAACAACACTCGACAGTGAAAACACATGAAAAACAAACACATCAGCATCACCTCACTAACAACAACAAAAAAAACAAACAAAAAAAACCACCTTAGGTTTTGCACATAAGCATAGTCAGGAAAGGGACGAATTTATCTATAGAGAGCGATTCAAGACAAAAACCTAAATTAGGGTTCCGACAAATCAGATTAGGATCAATTGTAATGATTCTCTTTTGCAGACATTCCCACTACTGCTACAGGAACAGCTGGAATGGTGATGGCCATTAAAGATTGTGGCTTGAGTGAAGGAAGAAATCAAACTCAGTGCTAACTTACTTTAAAAGGTGGGCTGTAAAAAGAAGCATGAATCTTTCACAGGAACCTTTTTAGACATATCTGGACAAAAAATATAAATAAGTAAACCAGCATTTCCATGCTGATGTGAGAAAAAAAGAACTTCAAAGCTAACCCACAGTAGAGGGCAATTATACTTGTTTCTTTTTGCGGTAAGAACAGCAATGAAATACAGGCATGAGCTACATTTGAAAAATTTTGTCAAGAACCTGGGAAAATCTTGGTTTATGTCTAAAAATAAAACGTTTTAGGTACTGTTTTTTTGATTTGTTTGTTTGGTTTTTTTTTTTTCATTTTTAAAAAGTTTGAAATACATAAATATATACGTTGCTCTAAAAACTAGAGGGTCACAGCCCTGAAAATCTTGTATTTGTTCCTTCTAAAGAAAGAAAGCATTCTCCATGGTTCTTTGTCTTCTTCAGAATACTAGAAAAAGCTAATATTTGAGCCAGACACTAGAGTCAGCCAAACTTCATGCAGTAAGTAAACACAGTTTTGATTAGAGACAAGAACCTCTAAAGCAGTCTTTATTTATTTATTTATTTATTTATTTATTTATTTATTTATTTTTTTCCCTTTGGTTTAATATTTAAGAGGTTCTATCCACTCTAAGATCAGATTTGTCAGCTGGATGCCTCTGAGAAATTAAGCATCATTTTAGCTTTGTTAACACTCCAGCCAGCATGCTTTACATTTACTATCTGAATCAGCTGTACTACCATACCAATTGTACTTCATTTACACAACGCTGCTACACCTGCTTCATTTTATTCTCATTTAACACTGTAAAATTACTCTTGGGTCAAAGCATCTCACCAGCAGAGGAGAGAAGAAGGATCACTTCTTTTGACCTGCTGGCCATGCTTCTTTTGATACAGCCCAAGATATGGTTGGCTTTAACTCGGCTACAAGAGTACATTACTGCCTCTTGTCCAGCTTGTCATCTGTTAGTATCCCCAAGTCCATTTCAGCAGGGCTGTGCTCTATTCTTTTATACCCCAGCTTGTACTGATAGCGGGGATTATCACAACCCAGGTGCAAGACCATGCACTTGGCTTTGTTGAACCTTGTAAGATTAATCTGGGGCCACTGAGTCTCTCTGAACGGCATCCTATTCCTCAGGTGCGTAGATCACACCACAGAGCTTGCTGTCATCCACAGATTTGCTGAGCATGGATCCCACTGTAGTTGATGATGAAGATATGAAATAGCACTGGTTAGACCCATGAGTGACATCAGCCTTCACTCCATCCAGGTATTGAACCACTGACCAACTCTCTCCAAGCACGATTTTGCAACCAATAGGAGCCGTGCCTCACCACTAGCTCCATATCAGGGATTTAGTGTTGCCTCTCCATTACATGTGGTTCTATCGGAAGTCCTTGCATCTGCTCAGGCGTTGCCCGCCTACTGCCACCCCTTCCTTGGCCAAGTGGCTGAGATAGGTCTCTCAGATAGCGGCTTCTGGGCAGCGCTTTCCCATCACTGGCGCCGCAGCTGGCTTTGATTAGCTGGCTGGCCCCGCAGTCCTCACAAGTCTTGCTGCTGGGCGGGGCACTAACAAGGCCGTGCCTGGCTGTGGCGGGTTGGATGTGCGGCAGCTGTTCAGCCGGCAGGGACGCGGTGGGCATGGAGGAGGAGCGAACGCTGAAAGGGACAGGTAAGGGTAGAGTTTCAGGAATACAGCGCTAGCTCATGTTATTCACCAGAGAGAAAGCACCCGACAATAAACCTAACGAGCAGCCCCAGGAGAAAATAACAACCCCGTCGTCTCCTCCTCCAAGCTGTTATCTGGGCAGTAATCCCACCAAACCTGGACCGGTACTTGCAAGATGGGTGATAAGAGCTCTTGCCCTAGGGATAGCTGCCATCTTATCCAGTGTGCTGTCTCGAGGCTATGGGCTTCTGTCTGCTAGCTCAGTGTCTGTGTGTGGCATTGGAGTCACAGGGCTTGTAAAAGTATAGGGCAAACTGGTGAGGAGGCTGAGGTTGCTGATCTTCCCGTTTTAGCTCTCCAGTGTGATCCTGCTACCTCAGAGTTTCCAGGCTAGTGGTGCTTATGTCCCCAGTTCTCTTTCTCTTTGTCTGAGTTGCATGGATGTTTATGGTTTTCCCTGCGTGCCTGGGATGCTTTGCACCAAATGCTCAAAGCACCCTTGAAATCTTGCTGTCACTGTGCAAATGCTTACCTTGTTCTAGGAACTCTGAGGAGGTGATTGCAAGAAAAAAGGACAATTTTGCTGCTTGTTCATACGACTTTAGACTTTCTGAACTCCACTAGTATGATCTACCTGTTCACTTAAGATCTCTTTTATTTCAGATTATTTATCCAAAAAAATGTGATGTTCAATCAGGTCTCTTGCTGTAGCAATGATGAAAGGAGAGGGCTGGCAACTCTCTCTGGTTGTTACTGTGAAGGGTTTTTTTGTATGTGGTTTTTTTTTTTTTTTTTTTTTCTTCCCAAGTTTTACTTTCATTTCAGGTATCTTCATGTTGATACCAAGTTTTGGGTTGTTAGGTCTTTGCTTTGTGTCTAAGAAATAGAGGTGGCAGATTTTCTTTTTTTTTGATGAAAGAATTATTCCTGCAGGTGGTGCAAAAAATCCTTGCTTTTGATCCATCTCTACTAAGGATACAAGGAATGGGCACACGACTTCAAAACAGGTTTTGTGATTTAAATGCATACTAGTTCATAAATAAAAATAAAAATTAGTTGGAAGGGTCTTTAATCATGAAGCTGAAAGTATTATTTCTAATTTGAGGCACAGTATGAGAGGATGAATGATGTGAAAATACTAGTTTTATCATGTAATCAGCAAGAACAGGACTGAAACAAGATAAAGCAGGAAGGACAGTGGAAAAGGGAATTACATAGCATATGTATACATGGCTTTTCCCTCCCTTAGTTCTTAGCCCCTCCCATCTGCGCTTGTAATTTCATCTCATCTCATGTAATAGCAAAGGAAAATTGCTGCTTAACAAGTACATAGCTTTTTGCTATGTCTTTACTGTCTTTTTCCTATAGTACTGATTCAGTTCTCTTAATCCTGTAAAAAGGCAAATTGAGAGGTCTTGGAAGCAGTCTGGTGTCTATTTGTATGAATGCTTTCCATGAATGCTTACCCAATTGACTGATGTTGTGAGTTTCCTACTCAATTAACAATTGTTTAAGAAAGAGGCTTTGGATCAGAAAGCAAGTTCTTTATTTTGACATTGTGTTATTATAAGTAAAAAGTAGGAGAGAATGAATTTTTTTTTTTTTTTCATCTATTTTTGTCTTCAGGTACCTTCTTCACTGCCCATTCTTAGGTCTGTTATTCATTACTGTTGTGTCTGAAGCTGAAGAAAGTTAAGTCAGTTAATAAATGTTCATACAATTTGTTTTTTTGTTGTTGTTGTTGTTTTTAATTTTGATCAACTTCAGTATGATAGAAACAGAAGCCTCTATAATGAAATGTGGTGCCATTTGTCAGATAATCCCTGCTGACAGAATAGACCAGACTCTGGCTTTCATTTGTCTTTAGCTTATTTTTGTAAGGAGTCATTTGGTGTCTTGACATATCATAGATTTTTTTATTATGTTCTTTATTCCAAAGGCCTCTGTTATTCACAGTGCTGTTTTCCTTAAAAGTACTACTGTTAGTTACATGCAGCTTTCTCTTGATTTTTCTTTTTTTTTGGTGTGCGTGTGTGCTTAGTATTAATTACTCCTATAGTTTGCAGTTGAATGTTTTTGCAGGCATCTTTTCTCTCAAGACGAGGCTTTTCTAAGATCAGATGTTTAAATATCTCTATGTTGACCATATTGTATTCTTTTTTCTTTTTCTATCTTGGTCACTGTCTTATTTTGAACTCTCAAAGTATGTTTGTCTTTGTTTACACTGTTAATTTTTATTGCAGTGTTTCCCCTTTTCCATGACTGAAACTTGGTGCACCTGGGTAAGAAAGCATACATATGAGTCAGTCTGGGGAACACCTTTCTTTTTTTTTCTTCCTTGTAGAGTGTAAGAACAGCAAGGAGAGCGTATCACTGAACACCTTTGTGATTGATGCTGATCCTCTTTGTGGACACAGTACGGGGAGTAATGCGCTAGTTACATTCCAACTTGCAACTATAAAAGAAGTTGGGGATACCCTGGGAACAGAAGATAAGGCTAGCCTTGTGAAGGAGGAAGATGGTAGTTACTGCATGCTGCAAGCCACTGAGTCAACTTCTCAAGACTCAAGAGCCCTTCCTCTCAACCTTGCCTCAGTGTGTGGGCAGTTGTCAAATTTCCTCAGCAACATAAATTCTGTGCCTCCTCTTCCTGTGGTTATGTTTGCACAGGCACCCACGGATAATTCAGGGTCATTCAAAAAGAATGAAGGTTGTTACTCTGATGTGACTGAAAATGTGGCAAAGAAAAAAAATAATTGCATAAGTGGAGTATGTGCTGAGAAGTTACCTGGTGCAATCTCTAGAGATTTCTGCAGGCTAGCACTGTTAGAGGATGTATATGGCCCAACTAATTGCAGGTCAGTGCTCTGTACTTCAGCCAGTATTGGAGGTCAGCAGTCCTACACAACAACTTCATTCCTGAAATCTGGAAGTAGTCATGGTGAGAACAAGCAGAAAAAAGATTTATGTGAGGATCCAGAAATTCTACTGCCAGTCAAGAAGAAGACACGCACCTTCTATAGCGCAGGTAGATAATGCGGAACCCAGTGGCAGGCAGTGATACTTGCAGTGATAATGGCACTAATGTTTCTTACATCATCCTGAAGGCACAGCATGGAGATGCTGAACTGCCCTAAATAGTATTTTCATTGCATTTTGCAGTACTAGAGGTTGAGAACTTCAGTTAAAAGTTTGCCAAGTCTTTGTGCTTGAAATATTGCTAGCAATACTACTTGTTTTACTGTGGAAGGAGACATTTGCTTACTTCTGTGGTTTGCTTTTAAGAAAATACCACCTATGTTGTTCATGTATTGCTAACTACATAAAAAATTTGGGTTTTTATCTGTTGGTTTTGTTGTTTTTTTTTTAATTGTTGTTTATCTTCTCCTCATATGCTTTCAATCTCTCTCTGTGTCGTTTCTAGAGCAACTAGAAGAGTTGGAGAAGGTGTTCCAGGAAGATCACTACCCTGACAATGAAAAGAGGAGGGCAATCGCAGCTGTAGTTGGGGTGACACCACAGCGTATCATGGTAATAATGCCTGTGTGGGTAACAGTGACTTATGGGATTTGTGCCAAAAAAAGTGTCAGGAGGAGGAACTGAAGCAGGGAGAAGTCAATTTTGCTGATGCTCTGTGGAAGCAAGGCTCTTCAAGAGTTCTGGATTCATCTGAGCAAGCATGGAGGCAGTCATTGCTGTTTCTTTGCCTGTGTTCCTGTGTGTAGATAATTTTCCATCTGAATGTTTCTTTCTATTGATCAGGTGTGGTTTCAGAATCGCAGGGCAAAGTGGAGAAAAACAGAGAAGTTGAATGTCAAAGGCAGCAAAAAATACTCAACATCAGCAGCTCTGGCAATCCATGCTGGGTCAGACATTTGTGGGTGAGGGACTTGCTCTGTTTACTCATTTCTCCACAATAGATACCTAATGAATTAAATCTTCACCTATTATTTTTGACCTTTATTTTTAAGCCATGGAGAACTGATCATTGAGATGGTTTATTGCACATCTGTTTTCTCCAGCTAGACAGGTTCCTAGCAAATTATTGTAGTGCATCCTCTTAAGAGAGCTATTGGACACAGTGTAGCACTGTTTTACTGAAGCCATACAGAGAGCAGTGTTGAATAGAAAGGATAAACGAAATCACTCCTTCATTTTTATTTTCGTTTTATGTGTTCTTTAGGCCCTTTGTGTGCACACAGGAAGCTTTTTATTCCAGACCTCCTTCCACCATCATTGAACATTTTCATAAATTTGTCACTTGGTGATGGAAAAGGTGCTTGCATGTAACAAATATCATGGAGACATGGGCTTCTCTGAAGAAATGAAAAACAGCACGTTTCAGAGATGAGGGGGGAACAGAGAGAGAAAGAGAATCTGTTAAGTGACAGATAGGAGACCACCTGATGGATTTCACTGCACTGTCCCTGCTACTTATCCTTTCCACACAAGTAGTCTGAGACTGCTTCCCCAAATATTGGTCGATAGTGTTCCTTGCACTCGTAAGTGCAAAGACAGTGCTTACTGATCTAATGATCTAGGATCTATCTGTTGTAGGATAGCTAAAAAAATGTGTATTTTGTGGTAATGTCTTGCATTGTGTTCCAGTTCAAGTTCATACCTCTTATGTACAACTCCAGGGCACCTCTTCTGCCAATGCCTCCATTGCCTGATCAGTCTGCCATATTAAGTGTAGACACTACAGCTGGGAACTGCTCCAGTAGGGTCAGTGAACATTCTGCATTGTTTGCTTCCTCCTCAGGTGAGACCCATATCAGTGCAAACCTTATTGTTGTTATTTTTGGTGATGTTGGCAGGCTCTCAGACACTTCAGAGAGGTCGTGTTAGAGTTCAATCACATCAGTACAAAAAGTGACATCAGATTTAGCAGTTCTCTTCTAATCATGTTAATGGCTATATTGGATGGTGTCTCTGTACTAGCAATAGAGCTAGATTTACTGTTCTTATTCATTCATGCCATACCACAGCCCAGCAAGCAATTCTGAACGTGAGTTCATAAGGATATGTGGTTGAAACATTCTGCTGTTATAGCCGAATGATAACTGTTGCAACTTTGGGCTCTCCCACATGATGACAAAACTATTATTTTGGCTATTATGTGCTCTTCAGGGCAAAAGTACAAATCCGCCTATATTGAGCCATTTGTTTCTGGAAAATCTGTACATTTGGATCCAATTCTTGATATGGAAAAAAAAATCAAGATAAAGATTTATGGGTTTTTACTTCCTGATCCTTTGAACTTGATGCTGTGTGTAAATCTAGCTTTTATGCAATATGCATTTCCTTTACTTGTCTGAAACTCCAGGATCTTTAGTATTAAGGACATGTAGGTGAATTCTCTTTGTTCTCTTTAAATCAAGCTAAGCAAAAAGTATTAAAGACTATTTGTCATCTAAGGCTCGTAAGTATTTTCCAAATAAATATCTGTGTGACAAAAATATTACCATTTCTAAATTACTTTGCAGAAAAGAGGTGTATGTTTTGCTAGCGAGCATAAATTGTGAAGTTAAGTAATTTATTTATTATTATTATTACTATTATTTATCCTAGTTTCCTGAGGAGAGGGAGTAGTGTGGTAGGTGTAATGATACAGGTTGAACTCACTGTTTATGAAACCCACCCTTCCTTCCAGTCTTAAAGTTACATTCCTACAAGTCATGGGAAAATTGCTGCCCAGGAAAAGTAGAGATCTGAGTTACTGCTCCTTCTGACTGAAAAGATTGCTATTAAGAGAGTTCTCATAGGAGAGAAATCTGCATATTCCAATCGCAGGAAAGCCTTCAGTCACAGTTGTATCTTAGATGTAGGACAGTAAAACCATGAAAAATGAGACTTCCTTTTTTTTTCCCCCTCTTCTCGGCAGACCCATTCATCCTCATTCAGAAATAAGTTTGCTCATAAACAAAGCCAATTAGGGCTCACCATTTTTCTTAGAAGACTTCAGAAAATGAAGAAGATAAAACATGGATAGGATAACACGCCAAGTAAAAGGAGGAAAACAAAGAGTGAACAAATGAATAAAAAGGTCATAAATCCACAAGGCAAAGGCCAGGAAAAATGATCTTGGTGGAAAATTGCACAGTGGCAGATTTCAGCAGAACAATCTGTGACCTATGCAATGATCAGTTATGCTCAGAGACTGGCCTAATTGTTGTTCGGAGTGATTGTTCAGGTGTTATCCTTGGTAGCAATGTTTCTCCATGTTTCTCCACTTTCAGCTGGACAAGCAAATTACGTGCATGAGAATGCTACAACCTGTTAACTTTTGTGAAGTACTCAGTGCCTTTTTTTTCCTTTGCTTTTTCCTTGTTCTCTAGACATTGGTATTTGTGGTTTGTTTGGTTTTTTTTTTTTTTTTTTTTTTTTTTTTTGTCTCACAGTTTCATACAGTTATCCAAAGAAGCTGGTGTGGTGATATTTTTCCATTCTGGCAGTTATGGATATATGGATAGCACAGCTAATGCCAAAATCAAAAGACTCAATTGTGCTTCAGAATTTTTTGCTTGGTCTTAGAATGGTATTATGATTTTTGATAGATAGGTAGCTTGCTTTAAACAAAGTAATGTGCATGTATGTATTTGACATTTCTAATTGTTTGCAGTTTATTTGACTGAGACTTCTGACAATTATATTACTTTGATTCAGTGATTTAAAACATACATGACCTCTTAGAGATGAAACCTGAATGTCTCTGAGTAGGACTGAACTTCCTTACTGTTATGGAAAGTTTGGATGCATGTATAATTAAATGCCTTTTACATGAAAAACAAGAACATGTTTATGCAGGTAAGCACTGGACGTGCATGTACATAAACTTCCAGTTATAAAAGTTCCTTGAGCAAAATCAGGCAGTTGTGGTTTGGATCCAAAGTTTGGAAATTTTGTGTATTTTATGAGATTTCTGGTTATTTAGCTGCTGATGCTAACTTTTCAGAAGCTGTTTGTAAGCTTATATACAAATAAGTATTTACCCCCATAGAAATAAAAGCTACTTTCTATGCTTCTGTTAATTGAAGTTTTGTTTTTTTTTTCCCCTTGGTGATTTTGCAGGAAGAGCTTGTAGCTCTTAGGGAAATAACAATGTGATTGATTAGCCAGAAGCAGAAATCTGAATGGGGTGGAGGAGCAATTTCATGAAGTTCAATATGATCTGTCAAAGAACAGTAAATAAATCTCATAAGTCCTAATGATTTCACTATTTTTTATTCTGGCCTTTAAACAAATTACTTTAAAACTGGTGATGTATATCTTACATGGCAAACAAGATTCACAACTTTTAAACAAGTAGTAGGTTCTGTTCTACTGAAAATCCATAAGATCAGACCAATGCACTTCTCCTAGCATTATAGTTATAACCTGAAATTGGTATACTCATCTTTAGTTAATTAATTGAAGAATGCTTGTGCTCCTAACTTTAAGATTTTCTCTGCTTTGAAAATGCCATTTGCAAGAAAGATGCATTTTTTTACAGAACTTATAGTAATTTCAGGAAGAGACTGTGCATGAGACAAGCTTTATGATGGTCCTTAAAGTTCCAGTAAGTGCTGTGATTACTATTACACAGGCATATTTTCTTTACAAGAAACTGGATTGTTCAGTGTGTAACTGACACTCATAATAACAGAGTGCTGAAGTCTTGATGCTTGAGAAAGCAGTTCTAGTATAAGTACATTGCCTGAGGTTAGCTTTGTTGCTCAACATCAGCTGCATTGTACCCAACACTGTGCTTTTTGAACAACTGGTCATGTTCCCCAGAGCTACTGAGCAGTCTGCAACCAACTGCTTGGTTATCTGCCAGAACAGTGACAGTTGTCTTATACTGAGGCCTTCTGGAGTCAGTATGATGAGAAAGTAATGTATAGCAGATACTGGGAGAAAGGGCTCCAAAGCAGATAGGTGTCACCCTAATACCAAAGATTTTGGAGGTGATCTGATCTGATGACAGTGAAAGCAACTCCCTAAAACCATCTTATAGTTAAAACCATGCCCAGTTTTAAGTTCATGGACAGATCTGTAGCATAAGAAGATGCATCTTCCTATGTTATCCCCTAAAGTTTAGTAAAAGACTGAAAACAGTTATCTTGAGAGTAGCATACATATCCTTCACATCTTTTTCTTTCCTTTTCACTTAAGACTCTGTTTCAGTCATTGGAAAATCTTGCCTTAATGAATGGCTTTCATAGTTCTGCCAGGATGCTGAGAAAGAAGCTATACTACAGCAAAGACATTACTCATAGTTCTAATGTCACAATCCACAAGGGCTATTTTGTACTAGATGTTTTTAAATATTTTTTTTAAAGATACAGAACATATTTCTCATTATGTGTGAAAGTGGGTTTAAAATTGTTTTTCTGGGATATCTTATTAACACTGCTCACATTTGTCCTGAGCATGGATAAGGCCAACTTCAAAATAGCTAATTGTAATATTATTGTTTAACTGAAGTTTATCTGGATATAGATAATTTTTCAGATAAGTTGTACCCAGTATGGCTATGGCTTCATGAAGTTTGTGCAAAATATTACATTCTGGGGCGTTGCAATCAAAGGCTTTTGTAAACGAAAACAGAGCTTCAGCTCTGTTTCTGGCCAAGTTACTTTGTCTTGTTATGAAACTAAAAGTTGTTTTGACTTGTTTTACAAACCTTGGACTGTATGCTATGTCAAAAGAATTGTGGACGTGCAACGTAAATGCTGCCTGAAACAGAAAGATCATATTCAAATAGCAAACTAAACCACTGGGAATTGCCTGGGAGTGTGAATGGTTTAGGGATGCCGTGTCTTGATCTAGTTTTTGAAATTATCCCAAACTCAGGGCTCTTCAAGTTTTCACTGAAAGATCCTGTCTCTTTTCATAGTTGCAGTTAGTTGGAAAAAAAATCATAAAGGAAGATATATTAAGATAAATGCAATTGCACAGCTCACTGGAGAATCTTAGAAATGGAACTGCAGATGATTGAAGTGGAATCTTATTAGCTCTTTGGACACACATTCCAAAATTTTGTAAAGGTTGCTCATTCTAGCTGCAGCAGTATTATGTTTAGGCTTTATGCCAAAGGCATACATCTGATAGAGTGCATCTGATGTTCCTCTATGCCTGTGAGAGTGAAGTACAGCTGTAAACTATTCACACTGCTATAGCGTTCTCCAAGTGCTTTGCCATGTGTGGAAGTAGACCAATTGTTCTTGAATAATAATGCCTGAGATATATTTTCATATCTGCTCATCCTTATTCTGGTTTGGCCTAACTAGTCCTGAAAAATCATTTCCATTGCCCTATATGCCTAAAGATAGTTAAATTTCTCTAAACAGAAATAATTTGATGTTTGGCTTAATGGAAGAGCATTTTGTTAACATACAAAGTTCTTGAAGACCACATATAAAATTCTTGAACATCTGTGCATACATGTTCTGGATCACTAGCATATATGCTTATAAAGTTTTCGTATCATGTCCTCTTTCCACAGAGGTAGCTTGGTAAGAAACTACTCCATTCTTCTTTTCCAGCAGTGCCTGAAGAGACAGACTACCAAACAAGACTAGCTATTGAAATATGTTGTTGTGCTTTCTCATCTCCCAGCTTCCTTTTCCCAAGGCTGACATCTATGTTATCTATCTTTTTGCTTTGTTTGTTTTAGTGTTTGGCATGATTCATCAAATGCATATCAAGAATGAAAGTTATGTTTTTAAGACACGGCCGAGATTTTATGTCTATAAAGGCATGCTTTTTGTTTCTTCCAAACTAGTTGAATTTTTCGAAAGGATAATCTGTGCAGCACATTCTTCCCAGAGGACAATAGATGTGGAAGAAGGCTGAGGGATCCTGTCTTTCTTTCCATTAAGTACTTATTTTCATTTGGCTGCCTTCTTGAGAGCTGAATAAATCTACTATATGGAGACTAAAATTCTGAGAGTAATCTTAGTTAATTAATAAACATAACTGTATGTTCCAGAGAGCTTGTTACTGCTTGTTCTTCTTCCCAGAAGAAATGTTGCTACTTATTCACTTTTATTCACATCAGTTAACCTACACTCCTTCACTGGCATCTTGCCTTTCTGTTTTGATACTTTTATTCGACTGATCCTTTGCTTACTCCTTTCAAATTTTAGTATGACGGTCTCTCTTTTTATTCACAGTCTCTCCAGTGAAAGGGATGATAGGATCTTGTGAAACAGTTCAGACAAAGGCGTTGCTGCAGCTTGACTTCAGTTCCAGCAGAGTGGAGTGCTTCCCAAGCCCTCCTAGTCCTCCACCCATTCGTAGGGCCAGCCTGCCTCTCAGTCTTTCCTTCAGCCCCTACGGTCACATTGTCCCATTGATGCTGGATGCTCCCAACAGTGAATGCGGCTTGTCCAGTCAGGAAAACAGCTCCAAGGAGGCCTTCGCTTATAGCATCCAGGATCAAGGGTAGGAATAGATGAGACTCTCATTGAAGAAGACAAAGAAAGTGAATTTTGGGAGGGCAAAGCTGGGACATAGGACAAGGAAATATATGGGAATGTAACTAAGAATTCAAAAGAAAACAAACCCTTTAAATGGAGTATGGAAAAGTGAATAATGATGTTGTAGGACTATGCACTTACCTCCAGAAAACTGATAGCCATAATAATTGCATGTACATCAAATGGTAGTGAAGTTCAGAAGCACGTCCTTGAGATTAACTATTGGTGTTTGCCACTTAGAGAGTGGAAAAAACTAAAAGGTACTCCCCATCAATGTGCTATGTTAGAGAATCTTGCTGTTAATGCTCTATCTCTTTTTTTCCTGTGTCTGGGATTTGGAAGAAAACGTTGGATTCAGATAAGGATTTGATGGTTGTCAAGGGTGAATAAAACAATAGTTGTATATGTTAGAAGGTGATGTTTGGGGTTGACTCTACTTTGAACTCTGAATTGCTTCTCTTCTTGCTTTCCACAGCTTGTGTTCAGCAGTTTCTTCTAAGCAGCTGGACTTTATAGGCAGTCTAGAGATGCCATACTGTCAGTATGGCAGCCAGGGTGGAACTTACCAGCTGTCCCAACATCAGTGTTCCCAGTTCCACCATCTGCCATTTCACCGACCCAGCAATGTCTCCAGCATTCACCTCACTTCTACAACACCAACTGAATCCAGTTCAGCTTTCCTTGCCTCACCTAGCAGCAGTGGAATGGTAACCTATGGGCCAGCAGGAGACACACAGGACTACGTACAAAACCATGTGGAGGAACAATCTGTGTTACAGTGGCAGAATGGAAACGCAGGTAAATTTCTGAAATCTTGACATGTCACTCCTCAGGAGTGTCACCTGAAAACCTCAGGGTGATCAGTAGTTTTACTGGTGACTGAAAGAAGGAATGTGCATGTACATGCATAATATATATAAACTGTTTTTTCTCCTTTCCCCATAATCTTTTGCTCTCTTAATAGGTCACTTACCACTTAATTTGAATGCAAAGTTACTTCTTAGGTTATATGTTATAGAGAATGTTACTGTGTGTGTATATTAGGTACTACAATGGTTTCATGTAGATTGGAGAGCAACTTACCTTTTTTCGAAGAATGTTGAACAAACTAACGTGCCTATGGTGTATGTAAGGTAGTGGTCAAGAATGAAAAATGAAGAGGTGTCACAGGAAATTAAGTAGTGGGAGGGAACAAGAAAAAGAGGATTCCAAATCTACTGGGCTTCTGCAGAGATCGTTTTGAAAGAACTTATGTATCTTAGGGTAGTATAGTAGAAGACAGAAACAAAGGCCAAGAGAATATTGTTATGGCTTTTTTTTTTTTTTTTTTTAATTCCCTATGGGAATTTGTGATATCACTTAGAAAATTATGCTGAAATGCTTTATTCTAAGTAACAAAGTAGAAATGGCAATATTGGTATCTTTTTGTATCTGTATTCTGAATTTGTTCAAGTCCTGGTAGGATCAAAAGACAATACTACAGCCATGTATTTAGTTTGTCTGTCAGGTTTGTTAAAATAAAATTACAGTCCAAAAAACACCTCTGATCAAATAAGAGAACAAAATGCTTTCAGACTGCAGATGCTGCTCTTGTACCATTTTTGTGGAGGTCCTTTTGTCAAGGAAAAAGTCTGACTCACAGGATGACTGGTGCAAGCTGACTCGTTTTTCAAGGCAAACATTTTCTAGAACAGTTGGCAGCAACTCTTTCTAGCACTAGGCCTGGTTCTCCCCTCTGGTTGTAAGGCAAAATTGAAAACTTCTTGAGAAAGAAGAGAGGAAAGGATGGCTTTTTTTGTTTGATTTCCCAAATGACTTTTCAGAAAAAAGACATTTATTTTAGATACAAAATTACGTTGCTCTAGATTTGCTGTAAAGAGTTGAGGGAGGATGTTTGTCTAACTTTGCAATGTGAATTATTTGAAAAAAATCCAGGCAATTCTAGGCCATTTAAGAATTGAATTTTCTTAATCTGTTTTTCTTCAGATGTTAAAGAAGAATTGATTGATGCTGTGTTCTAAGAAAAGAGGAAACATTACTATTTGAACTGCAAAATAAGAATAAAGAAGAGAATATCATACCATTTACTTTTTTTTTTTTTTTTTTTTAATTATTATTGCCATTATTGTTTTCCTGCTCAGGAAAGAAGCTGGAAAATTTAAATTGATCTAACTTCTAGTCTATGTTGGGTTTTTTTGTTTGTTTGGTGTTTTTTTTTTTTTTTTGTTTTGTTTTGTTTTGTTTTCAAAATCTGACTTTATTCTTAATAAAATTCTTAATGAGCATGCAGAAAAAAAAAGAGCTGATACAGGCAACACAGTCCCCTGGATAGGTGGAAATTCTCAAGAGTTTGAAAGTATGGCTCTCCTGGGAAGAGAGCTCAGGGAGATTAAGTTGCATACAAAATGAAGAGGAACTCCAGCACATACAGCTAATTTTAGGAACTACAGACAGTACAAGAAGTGTTGTGGGAAGTCCAATCCATCATTTGTTTCATGTTTGCCAGCTTTAAAATGCAAATACTATAAAAATTAATATATTCAAACTATAAGTGTCAGCGATATAACCGAATCTCCATCAGCTATTAGTTGATTTGCTTCTAGTCTGAATTGCTGAGAATTATGTTGTTTAAACTTAGGAATTCGTAACTTAAATATTAGGTGGGTAACACTTCCATGAGATACTAAGATGACACAACACTTGAAGTGACTCAGTTACTGCAAGATGGGTTAATACTTTTAACTGTCTTTTTCAGTTAATAGAAACTGTGAACTGTTCAGTGTTTTGCCTTTCATTCGCACCTGCATCCTTTTAGGATGTATAGCAATTTAATCTGATGGGATGTTTCAGCTGTGGCTTTTCTCTCACATTCTTTCAAATCTTAATGCGGGAACATCAACCTGCAGTGTTATTATGAGTAATTTAGTACAGCAAGTGATCTTGATTCAGTAGTCTTGGCTGCTGCTTTACCTGGGGCTGTCCTCTTAGGAAATAGATAAAAATACACCTCTGAAATTAGCCATCAGTTGTAGTAGCAGAGGACTTTACTGAAGAGGTTTTATACCTTGGTTCATAAACAAATGGTTACAATTCCTATGAACCGTGGCTTCCTAATAAGCTTTAACCAGATGAATGCATAGGATGTATAAGGAGTGTCTAAAATATCAGGATCTTGCCATGTCCTTCTGAGGACAAACAATTGTCTTACATTGACTTGACAGTGCATTTCCTCTGATGATTTCTGTGTTGAACTGTGAGCCTTTTCATTGTCTTTTAGACACAGGCATGGCTTAAGTAATTTTTACATTACCATGTTCTATATACTTCTATTATACTCTGAAATTAAGCATTGTCAGGTCTTCTGCTTCATTATTTTTTCTGTACCATGAAGGATGTTGGTAGGAGTTTAACGGTGCTGGTCCACTTTTTTTTTTTCTTTCCCATTTCAATGTATTGTACAACATTATCAGTGGTCAAAGGCTAAGCAATGTAGGCAGAAACAGATTTATATCACGAATCTACAAAATTGAGAAGGAATTTTCTTTTCCTAAAGCAAACACTTATTATTGACTGCAGAAGGATAGGAATATGGTGGGGAATGAGTATCAGTTCAGTTCATGCTTGTTTCACTCATCCACAGCTGAACAGTCTAAACCAATATTTCTAAGAAGCATGAAAAAGAATTTTCACTGCAATTACAACTGTGACCTGAAAACTGTTAGTGATGACTGCAGTATTCTTTTTAGCTTGTTTTGTTTTTAAATATTGTCTGAGTCCAAAACCAACCGTTCCAGGAGATAACAAGGACAAGAATAACAACAAAATATTGGCTTGTCTGCTCCTACTTGCCTCTTTTCTCACCCTGAATTGTTTTTCTCTTTACTGCATATTCTTGAAAAATTTTTAGCTTCAGAAATAGGCCTTTTGGTTGTCGTTTGATGAGTTGCACAGTGAACTTGCATATTCTGCTTGTGATATATCCCATAAAAATTATATGGGCATTCAGGATCACAATGTAAAGCAATTTCAGAAATTACTGGGATTGAGTGAGCATAGTAAAATTTTTAAATAGAAAATCTTTTGTTTTCAAGCCTTTGAATAAAGTGTAGGCATCTCCAAGTATTTTCAGTGGAACAGTAAGATTCATTTCTGTACTTGCACCTTAGATTTGCCAAGTTAATTTGGCTTGAAGTTTTGAAGTTCTTTTGCCCCTGTAGAAAACAGGGTAGGTACTTGACAGTATGCAGGAGGCCAAATTCATCCCTTCTGTAGTTCCACTGACTTAGCTGGAGCTAAACCAAGTTTAATCTACTCCAAAGATACAAAGGTAATTTTTTGCCACTTGTGAAAATAATGACAGTTTGCATGTGCTGTGCTCACATAACACCAAGAGTTGGTCTGCTACATCTGCAATAGCAGATACACTAGTAGCTTGAACTCTCATAATTTCTTAGGCTCCTCTTGTTATTCTCTCTGCTGCAGCTTCTCTTAGTAGAATTGGATATGTTTTACAAATGCACTGCTTGTTTTCTGTTTACAAGATTCTTTGCATGCCATCTGCTCAAGAGAAAGCCTAATGAAATAACACATGTTTTAATGAAGAGGAATATTCTTGGTTTCTTTGAAGAAGGATGAATTACAAAGTATCAACGTTTATTCAGCTGATCAGTTGAAATTCCAGTTTTTATCACTTGTAAGGATTATTAAAAAATATAATCTATTGCTGCATGGTAAGTATTGATTTTCCTCTTCATATAGTTGTGTCTGCATGAGAATAATACATAGAAATAATCAAGCCCATTATCTGACAGTATCATGCATCTTCACAGATAAATGCTGACAAGCATGGAAACACCTGTGATAACTCATTTAGCTTAGTGATAATCAGATCCTCAGAACTGATAATAATCAACCAGAACAGTATACAGAGCATAAGATGCATGGTGTAAGTCATGCACGCACTGTGGGACTTTCAGATGTGTTGCTCAGTTGTCTTATTTAAGATAACAGAGCTGAGCATTGAAAAATTAGGAAATGTTGCTGTAAAACTGCAGCTGCTTTTGTGCCTATTATAATAGTAGGTGACCTTGTAATTAATTAGTATTTTAGCTCACAGCCTCTGTCTCAGCCAGTGGATATGTAGGTAGTAATTTGGATTTCAGGGGGCTTTCCAGGCAGTGTATGACTGAGATATTTACTTGGTGTAATCTTTATTAACAACATAGTAAGTAATTATTTCTACATGGCATTTTTGATGATGCTCACAGCATTGTCGGTAAGTGGTACAGAGACATGAATCCTACATGAATAGGAGCCACTACAACAATTCTTTCCTGTATCTTTTTTTGCAGCTTATGAATGCAGGCACAAAAATGATAAAGTTCAGAAATGGGCACTGGCATTAAACTGAGACAATAAAGCCATAATTGCATTCACAGATGCAATCTTTTGTTGTGCATGGCTCTTACGGACTTCATTTGCTCTCATTTGTGCCCAACACTGTAGCAAAGCTAAAGACACTTCCACACACAGAAAATGAGAGATCAGCTGTGTGTCTTGTCCTGCACCACTCTCAGTCAGAAGCAGACATTCTGTCTAGTTTTGATAACATAATTTGTCTTCATCACAAGGCAATTCTTTCTTTTTCTCATTTCCTCTTGTTTTCTCTGTATTAGGACTTCCAATCTGCTGCCAAAGGGAAAAAAGATATCTTGTAGATCTATGTCAAAATGTATGAATACATGAATTAGAGTTTTCCTTCATGTTTTTTTATGGTAGCATCACTTGAGATCGTAACCTTAATGTCATTTACTCTCTGTTCTTGAGTGTTGATTTTTGTTGTTGTTAAATAAGTGGAAAAAATATATGTTTCATGAGGTGGGGTCACTAGCACACATAATGATCATCAGAAGATTGAATTCTTCAATTTCATTATTTGAGCTAATGAGCTTGCTAATAGTTCTGTGGATTGCAACACAGGATCAGCAACAAAGTCATGGGCATGAGAGGACCTGCTCTCAATGTTGTAGCCTGGCACATCATACCTGCACCTGACATGTTGCACCGTTTTGCAGTTTCTATAGGAACTTGGCAATACAGCCCATAGCAACAGGTTACAACCTGACTGCGCATTAATTAAATTGTTGCTAGACTTTAAAAAATACATATTATATATAATATCTTTTTCTTAAGCATTGGCAGAGCAACAAGTTGTGTTTCTGTAAGTTCACTGTTGAAAACACCTGAGCTCTACTTCCTGAAACTTAAGTTCATATAACAAAATTCAACTTGAGGCAGGCAGAAAGTTCCTGCATTGACATTTGACCTCTGGTATGATAAGAAGCTGACAATATCTGTTCACAAAAAGCATGGAGGAATCATGTGAAATGCTACTATTAGATGGAAGAAAAACTTTACAAATAAACACGTTGTAAAGCAAACATTTACGGAAGGAAAAATTTCCAAACATTTAACAGAATTTTCCCATGTAAGTAAGCAACATCACTGCAGAAGCCCAGACAGAGGGCAGGTTTTCTCACAGTGTAACAAAATGCTCAAATTGGATGGATCCCTGTTATGAAAAGGACAATGTTTGCTTCCCTTTGCATAGCTGGGAAAGCTTGGGAAGCAGCTTATGAGATTTCTGACAAAACAAGGAAGGGGAACAGTTGGCAGAAAAGCCTGCTTCTTATACCCGAGTCAAGCTAAACTGGCCCTTGCAAACAGGAGAAAGTTATTCTTTCTAGTGGATCTTGACATATAGGACTAGCAATCCTGCCAAAGGGAGGCAGTCCTTGACAGGAAGATTTTGTTAAGTAGGGCCTTCGCTGTTGGTCTAGCTTTCTGTCTCATTTCTACTTCAGTGTTATTTCTTTTTCTGTAACGTTCTTGATCATGGACACTCTATCCTTCAAAAACCCATAAGGCAGCAAAAACCTGTGTATTGTTTTTCATTACCTACAGTTCTTCTCACTTTGGCTACTAACTGAATGAAGCAGCACAAGGGAGAATCCAAGAGCAAAAGTCTGCAGCTTCTCAGAGAGCAGCCGAACAAGAGCTGTGTCTGTGATA